AAATAAATAAATAAATAAATAAAAGTGTCTATGAAAAAAATTATAACTAACAGTTGTGTTACTTTCAAACAGTGAAAGACTGAATACTTTCCCCTAAGATTAGGAACAAGATCTAGAAATTTGAAAACTCACTGAATACTAGATAGAATTTAAGAATTGTTGTTTAATTTTTAAGGACAATAATGGTATATTTTTTATGTTATAGTAAAATGTGTCCTTACCTCTTAGGAAAAAAATATATATCCTTGTTCCAGCAGGGAAAGAAGAGACATATTCTCTGTATATCTTTAAAATAGTGTGTGGAATAATGTTATTTTCAGGGCATGTCATTTCTACTTTGCTTGATATAAATGTCTGAGTGACTCAGCTGCTGAGTGGCTTTTCCTGCCAACCTTGACTCATCAGAAAGGCCCCCCAGCTTCATGAGTCTTATCATGAGTTTTTCAGGGGGCAGGGCCTGTCTTCTCTGTGGTAGGACGTGCTGCTCCTTAGCTCCATCTGTGCCCTGTGGTGGAGACTCAAGATACTTGATCTTCCTTAGAGGCTCTCCTTTATCCTCATGAGAAGGCTTTGGCATGGGCCAGTGAGGTTTCCGGGAGTACTCCTGGTCCCCAAAGATCATGGTAACAACAAAATATATAATTATATGGATATGTAATATATTTGTATTGCATATGATTTCTTCCACTTGGGATATTAATAGCTAGAGGGGTCTTGGTCACATATGACGTCAATCATCTTTCTTTTCCTTTCAGTCCTCCCTCCTTGGAACATCCTTGGTCATCTTTTTAAAAAATTTATTAGAGAGTACACATGCTTACTGGAGGGAGACAGGGAAAGAAAAAATCACTCCCCATGTGGGCTGATCCTGCCTCAATCCCTTCTTCACTTCTCCTTTCAGGATTCTGGACATGCACACATCCACAGTGTGTTTCTCAAGCTACCAGGTGCAGGACTTGAACCACACAATTGGCTGTGTGGGATCCACCCTAACCACTGTGTCACCAGCTGGCCCAATACTTGGTCACTTTTGAAAGTCTAGAATGGATTCTCCTGCCTGTGTCTTTTAATGTTATATGTCGGGTTAGCACCTTCAAACCCTCTGCAGATCTTTACTGCATCTTCTCCAGTCTAGGCACCGTTGCTGGAAATGGAGTTGATTAGGGCCATTCCACAGCCTAGTGGTTAAGGGAGCTGGATTCCACATGGCCAGCTGCGGTTCAAATACCAGCCCTGTTAGCTTGAAAAACACTGGGTACGTATCATATGCACACGTGCCCAACATCTCACCAGGACTAGGAAATGGAATAGAAGGCACTTCAGAGTGAACACATCCCATTGCGGGAGACTTTCTTCCTCTTGCTCTTGCTCTCTGTGTCTCTCCACTTCTCATTGGTGAGCACATAAATCCTCTGGCAATTAAAAAGAGAGGAAGAAAGAGAGAAAGAAAGTTGATTAAATCGCATTTCCTGCCTAAAAGGAGTACAGGTGGTGAGAGGCATGTGGTAGTAAGTGATTGTGGCACCGGGTGCAGAAAGGGGACACCTCTACCCATCAACTGGGGGAAGACCCTTAGAGGTGGTGACACCCAAGGCTTGGCAAATGTAGAACACTTAGCCAAGCAGTTTAGAGGCATTGCAGGCTGAGAAAGCAGCATGTGCAAGTGGGGAGGAAGTAAACCATGTCAGGGCACATGGGGAAAGAGGAGGCCAGTAAGGTAGGGAGGGCTGTGAAGAGGCCCTTGCCGTCACCAGGGGTATGTGGTATGAACTTCCTTTCTCTGTCAGTCGGGCGTCACCCCTCCTGCTCACAGTCCTGGACGCTGGCGTCGCCTCCCACAGTGGGCACCTAGACATCACCTGACCCATCATCTCACGGGGCCAGTCAGCGCTTCTACTCACCATCTGAATCGGCTGGCAATTAAGGCTGAATGAAAATCTGGCCCCACAGTTGATTTTCCTTTTTAATGAAGAAAACTAAATCTCCCTTCTGTTGGTATATTTTCACTAAAACAACTCACAATTTTAATTTGCTATTGCATGCAAATAAATTGATTAAACAAGCCAACGTAAGTTGTTTAACATCTTTAAGTAGAAATTAATCGTATCTTCCTAGTTTGTTGCAGAAGCTTGCATTCCTTTTTTATTTTGAACTCTTTCC